GAATTTTCTCTTGACAATTTACTACACCTAAGTGAAATATATTAAATTGGAAAGTACAAGATTAGCAAACATCTTCATTTAGAAAGCAAATAGGCTACAAATCCAACTGTTATCAAACTGTGAAATCATTAACTTCCATTAAAAAAAATGAGAAATATCCTTGTTAAAAATTTTGAAGACTTTTAACCCCTGTCTGCTAGGACACAGCTTCCCTAATGCAATAGCCACTGCAACACTTGGTGGAGAATAATTTTGTTCTTTGTCAGGCATGTAGCAACCCTGATATAGCCAGTGACTGAATTCATGCTCTTTTCCAATATTTCTGTGTGTCTCATTTCTAGGTGTCATAATTGGTCTGATATAATACAATATAATGAATGGGAATGCTTTTGTGTTGTCATTTTTTGCTTTTAAGTTGTCATTTTAGACTGCTTTTTGTTGCTATAGTCCAGATCCTGGTCTCAGTGAAGGAAATGGAAATGTCTAGGTGGCTTAAGCATGAGCAATCTTTGGATCTCAATCAGTTACAAGTCAATAAAAAACTTAAGAGCCTTACATTGGCAGGTTATACAAAATCTCTGCTCCCTCTGTATTCTCAGCTGATTCTCTGTTCATTTTGGAGGCTATGAATTACGTTTCTTTGAAGCTCTTTTTTAGCACATCAGAATCTCATCCACCACCGGTTGGTTCAGTAAAGCTCATCCTTTTCCAGTACTAAGTGTGAAATCTGCTTTGTGATAAATATCTGATGGTGCAGGAGCTCTGGGCTAGCTCCCAAGCTAAATTCATTTATATTGCAGCAAAACACCTGCCTCTGTGTCATCATGAAAGCAGCTCCCTATTGTAAAGTACAATTCAGTCTCTCAGACAAGATTCAGATTCCTTCCCTCCCCCGCCCCATCTGCAGGAGAGGAACAGATGTCCTTAGCAGCCGAAAGAAGCTTCCTGCCTCCTCATCTACCCAGCTGATATTTCCAAGTCGTGAGTCCTAAAACTCTTCAGAGTCAATCGACTAGGGCTTATTGTTTCCATGACACCATTCCTTCCCACAGCCACTCAATGCTCAGGATAATTACTCTACATGACACTTGCCGACTGGAAGTGACAGAGTTACACTAGGATTGTACCCAGCTATCACTGTGATGGTTCCCTCTGGATCAGCAGTATACCACACCAGTCACGGGATACTGACCCAGCTCCATAACTTCCCACGCGTCTGGTCCATTCCATCAACAAATGCTTTTTGTATACTTTGTGGGACAGAGCAGAGACTCTCCACTTAGTACCACGGCTTACTCCCAAAGGCTGGGCAATGACTACCATCCTGGGATATTAGACACGGATAAGAGGGATGCCTACCTTCCCAACAGGTATTATAATTGCTGCTGTTGCAGAATGCAATGGTGAGATTTTCGGAGGAAGTGCAACAAGCTATGAGACATAGGCAGAGGCAGGAAAAAATATTTATAAAAATGCCGTGTAACAACTCAGGGACTTTTAAAGGTTTTGGCTTAATGTGTGGCCAACTTGGTTGTCAGTCTCCGCAAAGTTTAGATGCGGAATTGGAGGTAATTACAAAAAGCCAGAGAAGTTATTGACTCATAAACATATTTGCTGTAAATGGCAAGTCCCTCATTGTTCGGCATTAAAATTTAATGCAGTAAGGTAAAATAGAATAAAGCAGAGCTTACCCGAAGAGACTGAAGAATCATAAGCACTTCTGTCCTTCCTATTTGTTCTGAAGGGTTGAATGTCCTTTTCCCTGTAAGTTCCAAACCCTTCAAAACTTCTTCTTTTATTCCCACTTGCGTCGTTGTCCCGCTTCTCACTCGAGGAATTAATTTCACCAAACATGTCCAGGGACTCTGACCTTCCATTACTCTCAGTATTACCAGAGTATCTCTTTTTGCAGGAGTCAATGGGATCATTGCTTGAGTCACTTTTATCTTTACTCTGTGTCCACTGCTGGGCATCAGAAAGTGATAACGTAGACAGCGTATCCACTTCAAAGTTACTCTTTGAGCCTTTGTGTCCAGTTTCACAATGCTGGTGCTTCTGCTTCTCCTTATGCTTGCTTTTCTCATTGAGCAAGGAGAGGTCTTTATCTGAGCCACTTAGCCTTTCGTTGATCGTATGGCTGGAGAAGCCCGTGGACTTGCTAGCAAAGAGACCACTTAGATCTTCATGTGTCCCCAATATCCGCTCATCCTTATGCTTGTGCTTATGTTTGTGTTTCCTTTTGTGAAGTCGGCCACTTGAAATGCTTGTTCCTCCAACCTTTGGAGGAGCCAAAGAGGACTGCATGTCTCCAAGGCCCATTCCCACAGGTGTTTGTAAGTGCATTCCATGTTTCACTTTATGCTTGGCAGTGGTGGACATCTTCATATGAGAACTTGCATGGAATTGGGGTGGGGGCACAGTAGGTCTCATAAATGGGGAAGCCGCTCCGAGCGTGTGAGACAGGTACAAAGGAGCTGGATACTGACCATAGTAACCAAGATTCATCATAGGCATTGATGTGTAAGGCATTCCATAGGGTGCATAGTAACTCCCACTGGGAATAGGGTAACCGAACCCTTGTAAAAAAGGCACCTTTGTCATGGTGTCATTGGTTTTGGCAGGTCTACCACGCTTCTTCTTAGACTTCATGTCAGAGGTCCTGCGAAGATAGAGCAATGGGTCGTACTGGATATACGGCACAGGGTAGTAGTGATCAAAATTAATCCTGAAGATGCTGGGATATGGATTTTCATGATAAAATGTGTAACTTCTATGGGAAATCCTGAACACTTGAAACTTATTGATGAGTTCTTCAAGGTCTGCCAGAAACTGGAGGTCATCTCTGTTCTGCAGGCTTTTCCTTTTCCTCTTGTGCTTTGGCTTTTTAATACTCTCATGAGAGAGAAAGTTATCCACAATAAGATGTTTCTGCCGGTGGCCATGCCTGTTCTTTGTGCTGGTGTCAGATGGGATAGCCTCTGGATTGTCCAGGGTGCAGAAATCAAAGGAGTATCTCCGGCGGGATTCTGAGCTTTTCTCAGCTTGGTCAGAAGTGCTGTTGTTGTCTGTACCTATCCCACTGTCACTGGGTATGGTTTCCTCACTGTGAGACTCACTCACCGGCGACAGTGTGACCTCTTTCAGAGAACCTATTTCACAGAGGTGGGAAGGTGAATTAGCCATTAACCTCGGTGGAGACAGCTTCCAAGTTCCACTGTGCATTCCTTTCTGGGTTTTTGTAGGAAGAGCACTGATAGGTTGAAGATTTGGCATAGTTTTTAACTCTGAAAAATTTGTTTCAGTGCTTGCAGGGCTAAGGTTGCCATTAGTCCCCACTAACTGTGTAGAAAGCGTATGAATAGCTGCTGGTGACGATGCCACAAGTGACTGCAGGTTGGAAGGCACTGCTGGGTTTTCTGGCTGGCTGGAAACAGGCCTTGAGTGCTTGATGGCTGTCTTAGGTTCTTCTGGCTGAGGCTGCAGTTCTGCTCTTGGTTTCCTGCCCCGTTTTTTACCAATGTAGATTGTTCCCCTCTTGCTGACATTGATCTGCTTCCCTAGTCTGGCATCAA